TAAGAGCTCTGGCTACTGATGGAAACAAGCACCGAGCCAAAGTAGATAAGAGAAAGCAGCGATCTGTTTTCAGAGATGTGCTACGAGCTGTTGAGGTGATTCTTTGGTCTTTCTTTAAGTGTCTGGATCTTAACTGTGCAGTGTACAATCTAATGAAAATGGTTTTATTATTAAATAGAATTGCTGTTTCAGTAAGAGCAACAGGAACAAATTATTTTAAATGATACTTCAAATTCTGATTACTTTATTCTGCATTTCTAAAAAAGTAGTTATATTTCATGTAAGTTTTTTATTTTGCTTCAAGCTTGACTCCATGTTTCTTTCAAGAAGGTTAAACATTATACTGTAAATACTAAATTCTTATTTTATTCCATGAGCAGATTTGTTTTTCATAGAAGACTTTGTAGGACATCCAAATCAGTGTCCTGAATTCTGTAAAAAGGTTCATTCTGAAATCTGCTACTGAACTGCTGTGCATAATAAAAAAACAACTTGGTAGTAAAATACATTTCCAACTGGCACCTGTCAGGGGCCGAAGAAGGAAGGCAGGGGAAAGGTGGATTGTCACTGTCCTAATTGTTGTGCTGTAATCTTTCGGCTTTTCATATCCAAATTAAGAGAACAATATGCAAAGCAGGACTTCCAAAATTTCTGGTTAGCGACGTGTTTTAGAGGCTTCAATGAGCTGTCAAATTTCTGTCACTTCAGTGGGTTGTTATTTTACACCTCTCAATAGGTTTTTGTTTTTTTTTCCTTGTCAGATAGTTGCTTCTTACATAGTTGTATTGGTAAGACCAACTAAATATTAGTTGACATTCAAAACAGTTGACCTCTCGGAAGCTAAAGAGGAGGCTTTGAAGAGATTCCGAGTCACTTTTGAGATCTGCCTGTAGAAGATGTCACAAATGTAGCTCACAGCACCTGAAAAGTGGGGACTAAATGAGGTTTACAGACAGACTTCAAGGTCACTGCTGAACTCAGAACTGGCTTTTCTGGAGATTCTGGAGTCCAATTCTTAAGCTCACTTTAAAGATGAAAGTCAAGTGTTCTTTCTTTAAAATGCTTTCTGAGTTGAAGAATGTCAGCTTCAAGTCTTACATGAGATTTAACTTTAGGTTAAACTCATCAGTTTATGAATAAATACAGTGTTTATATATATGTATTATTTTGAAGGTTATTAAAATTATACATGTTGTTTCCTTTACTTTTGAATAGGAGCGTGATTTCCCTACAGAGATGGTTAAGTTTGGACCTGAGCGTATGTATATTGACTGCTGGGTTAAAAAACAAACTTATGATACCTTCAAGGATATTCTGGGGTCTGGGATGCAGTATCATTTACAGGTGAGCTGCTGTTTGATGCATGCTCAGACTGTTGTTCTCTGTCTGGCTTCTTTGTAGCAGTTTGGTCTGAATTATGAAGTCATGAGTAGAACTTGGTGGAATGATGAGCTTTGCATTAGAAGTGTTAAAAGACAGCACTTACAAAGTGAACTAGAGAGAGCTTTTTCTGAGTTGTAGCCTGAGTGTGCTGTGGGTTAGCAATTAGAAGATTTCTCTAAGAAGTAAGATACTTGAGCTGAATACCTTCTTAGCTTCAGGGGTTTTCCTGAATCTGTGCTTTCAGCAGTGCTGTAGTTGACTGGCTGTTAAAGAGCTGCATGCCTCCACCCTTCCTGGTCAAGCCTGTGAAAAGGAATGCAAAGTTTTAGTCTAAAGTGATGAACACAACTTGCAGCCCAATGATGACAGCATTCCAGAAGGGAAAGAATAAGTCCTTATTTGTTCACTAGTCATCTATTCAGATAGGTAACAGAAACAGGAATTGTAGCTTGGGGTATATGCACCGAAATTGCTATGATAGTCATGGGGTTAAAATCTTCAGTCTGGTGCCAGCTGATTTTCAAGGTGACTGAGGGAGCCTAGGCGTGTGACAGCTTCTTCAGTTTTTAAAATACATTTACAGCCAGATACTTTAAAATTGCTGGGTTGTGAAACCTCACAGATCTGTGTCCCGCTGCCTGATCTTGTATAGACAGTGTCATAGAACAGTGTCTTCATTTTCAAGGACAAAAAAGAGGGCAGTTGTAGTTGTTAGCCTTTTTCTGATTAAAGGAAGTGTTCCCTGGCTTAACTGCAAAAGTTACTAAGATCTGTGTCAGACTGCTGCAATTTCTTACTGTAATACTTGATATTTACAGTAGTCATCTTTGGAGACTTGATAACCAGGGGAGAAACTGATTGTTTGATGTGTTTCTTGTTTAGTCAAATGACTTTCTTCGGAATGTGTTTGAGCTTGGTCCACCAGTAATGGTAGATGCTGCAACTCTTAAAACAATGAAGATATCCCGTTTTGAAAGGGTAGGTGCTTGCACTTTAATATTGATACATTAATGTATTTCTCCTAAATTAAATGGTGTTCCAAACATGCGATTGAGAAGCTGTCATATTTAAGGTGTCACTTTAGAACTAAGTGTTCTATCTTATCCTGAATGAAACCAAACCTTGCTTTTGTGGGTGTCTTTGAGCTCTTATTTTAGCTCTTCCACTGAGCATGTGTCTGCTACTGTTTTTTCTTCCAAGGAGGTCTGGAGGTTGATGTGCTTCCTGACTGGTATCAGATTCGTGCTCTCTGCGTGTGCAGCTAGGGCTCTAAGGAAAGCCATAGGATTTTGGGCAGGGACCTACAGGAAGCTGTAGAAACCAGGTCTTAATGAAGACAGTCCCAAACTTCGCAGTGTGAAGGGGACACTGGCAGGATGATGGTTTTGTTCTGTTGGTTGTGAATGTACTTATCCTGTACGAACCATTTGTGAAATGGTGTTGCCAAATTTAATCCTGGGGCAGACTTAATCTACGTTGTGCCTGTGTGTGATGTTCAGCACTGACTGGCTTCAGGATTGCTCCTAGCTCAGGCTTTCTTACACAATCCAAGTTTCTTTTAAATGTGTATATATTGAAATGAATCTGTCTTTGGTGCACAAAGATACTATAAATTTCAGAAGGCCTACCAATTTGTTCAAAGATTAATAAAAATTTATTTCAAGGTGCTTCTTAAGATGAAAAACAATGTACATAAGCTTTTTAATATCTGCTATTAATGTTTTCCTTTTATTTTGTAGCACTTGTACAACTCTGCAGCATTCAAGGCTCGGACAAAGGCTAGAAGTAAATGTCGTGATAAAAGAGCAGACGTGGGAGAGTTTTTCTAGATCTCCTTTTCCATGGCTTTCAATATTCATAATTGAAATGTATTTTTAACTTTTAAATGATTTTTTTATTTCTGTAGTCTGCACTTGTGCACAGAGATGTTGTATAAAGTCTGTAAATATAATGCATGTTGTTGCTTAGTTGCATATACACTGTACATAGATGGGTGTAAGATGGGGTGCAGGGATACGTTGTAACACTTGCATTAGACGCAACTTGCTCCAAAGTCTGAATATGCTGTTACTGAACTGTTCAGTGGGGTGGGCAACTGTAGTCAAATGCCATGTGTCAGATAGGATTCCTTACTTCACATCAAGGCAAAATAAATGAGTTCATTGGCCAAGTGTTCTGATAAGAATGTGCTAACCTCAAAAGATGAACTTGCTCATGTGAAGTTAATTTGGTAACTTTTTCAACTCCTCTGTCTGGCAGGTAGACAAATTTCTGCATAGTGTGACTATCGTATGAAGTTCCATTACCTTCACTTACAGTGAAGTACTAAGTGACAAATACTTGCCTCAATGTAAAATAAACCCAAGATTCTTGTGCTCTAAAATTGGAAGTTTAATTTTTGGAATAAAATTGTTTCTTGTTGCTTGCTTTCTGTGTAAAAGTGATTACTACACGAATGAAAACTGAACAGTAGCAACACCCAGAGGCTGAAACAGATGGGTTTATTTGCCCATTCAGCAATGTGGTTGGGTTAGTCTCCATGCTTTAGTTTGCTGCCTTGCTGAGTTCTGAAGGTGTCTGATCTACATAGGGTCTGTCATCACATTTCTCATGGTGAAATGTTTTCTAGTTCTAGTACTGCACAACACCTTCTCCCTTATCTTACCAGAGCCATTCCATCTGCCTTACTTTCAACACCTTAAAAACTACTCCTAGCCTCGGTTTCTAGCTCTAGAACACTGAAATGTGCCAATACCCTAGAACTGTTTTGTCATAGGGATGGGGGACTGTTATACAATAAAGATGCTAAATCCCAGCTAGCTGAAGTTTCTGAACCAGACAGTCTGTAAGTAAAGGTGCTTGTTAAACATTCTTAAAAGTGTAAGTCAAGTTATCAGCAGAGGAAATGAACCTCACACCCCAAACCAACCCCACCCCCTAAAAATTACTGTTTGTTCTGATAAGGATGTTTTCGTTTGAGATTTTTTTTTAAGTTTCTGATTATAGCAGAAGCTATTCCAGAAACTCCATACATGCCAATCAGCTGTACCTTCTAACCTTTTTTCACTGAAATAAGGTATTATGTGTGAACTTGTTTGGCGTACATAACTGATTCTACACATTACAACAAGGCCTTCAGCTGAGGTCTCTGTTATTATTGTTGTGTGCTGTATTTGTCATGCAAGCGGAGAAGTAACTTCTGATCCCTGGGCTATATGAAGTTGTTTTTGTTTCCCCATCCCAAGTGTTCCCACAAGCCTGGTGGTCTCTGCCCTGGCTGCTGGTACTGCCTTTGGCACCCTTTGCTCAAGTAAAGCAGCACTTTTGATAGCTTCCTGTCTTGGCAGTGTTTTCCGGTGCTTTCCACAGCCCCTTCTGGCTGATGGCCCAGCACGTGGTTGCCCTTTCCCCCATTACCCTGCCACTGCCAACTGCAGAGACCAGCATGGCTTCCAAGGCTGGCTGATGGGGGACGGGTCTCTGCTGCCCTGTATGCTCTGATGGGTTTGTAGACCTTGCCTCTGGGCTGCAGAGACCTGGGTCCTTGTTACTTGGTCCAGGTAGCAGCACAGCTTGCCAGCTTGGGGTGGGAGCTGTGAGTCAGAAGATGGATCCTCTTGTTTCCTGGAAGACAAATACTTCGTCGGCTTAAAAGGTCTCGAGATTCTAGACGTAGAGGATGACTTCAGAGTGGGATTGTTTCAAGCTGTGATGCTTTCATATGAGTGTCAGCTGCCTGTCATTGCAGTGTGCTGGAACATCACATTTGGCAACGTCAGAGAGAGAAAAACGTGATCACAGGAGCTGTCTGCGAAGGAGCAGTTACCAGTGTTCACAACACAGCTCATCAGAATCTGACTTTTAAAGAGCTAGCAATGTTGTACAAATTAGTCTATCCCATAATACTCTCCCACTTGAATTGGTGAGGTGTGGGGGAGGAGGAGGAAAATACCCTGAGTTTTTTTAGCCTATGCCTTTAATGTACTCACGTCTGCAATACTGTAGATATGACACTTCTGCATAGCAAACTGGTTAATCATAGCTACGGTCTGGTAGCTATGACTCTTCCGCATAAGCAAATGAGTTTTGGAAAGGCATCATAAACCAAAAGGTTAGTGAAATATTGATCATCAGTAACAAGCCGCCTCATTTTCCATGACAGGATATTATAATGATAATTCCAATATAATAAAAAATAACCGTATATGTGCTGATTCCTTTATAAACAGATCAATACTGTGAAGTCAGCATACTTAGCCAAGATGAAGTCTAAATATAGATGGAAAGGGACAGGCTGTTTCTTAGCTGCCTTCACAGATTCTGCTGGGGTTGACAGCTTCCTATGGCTCTAAAAGTAGAGAAAGAACAGCAGTACAAGTGTTCTTCGGGTGATTTTCACTGGCTGATCTCTTCCATACTGGCACATTACCTGAACGTAGTTATGTTGTAAGTAATGTTTCACTCTCTTGCTTTTTAATTGCTTTCAGATTTTACTTCTTTATTTTCTGTGAAGAATTTTTGGTGTGTTCTTATTCTAATTTTACCAGAACAGCTTAAGAAGAAATTTAAAAATCACATAGGGAAAAAAATATTTAAGCAAGGTTAAAGCATGAGATAAGAGTAACTCACAAAACCCCAGTGTGTAGATCAGTTTGTTGGGAGAATAATACTTTTGGCCAGTAACACTGATGTCTCTCTTACCCTCTCTCCTTTGTTTGGCATGTCAATAGAATCAAACAAATGTAATACAGACTTTGTTGAATTAATAATGGTTATCATTTTCACTGTGATTACATGCACAGTGAGGAAATCAGTTTTAAATAATTAACAAAGAATGCAGAAACATAATAATATTAATGAATTGAAGGTACTCACGTTTATTACCACTCAAGCTGTTGAGTCTTCCCTGAAGTTGCAGGGAGGTACTAATCAAAATGTTCAAGAGAAACAACTGCTCTTTGGAAGCTAAAAATAACCAAAAAGCCTCTATGCCCCGAGGTGGTAACTCCTAGCATGCCATTGTTGAAACACGGGGCTCCTAATGATGGCAGCTGGCTACGGATGTGCTTGTGGGGAGACAGCACAGAGGGTGCTGCCTGGCACCACGTGGCAATCTAGTGGAAGGGCAGTGGACACAGTCATCTGTCCTGAAATTACTGCTGGACACCTAAAAATCATACTCTCGGTAGGGGGAACCACTACTGTGCCAACTTTCCACCTTATCTTTGTATTTTGTAGCAACGCTTCTGAGCAGAGGAAAAGATTAAGCAGTAATCTTTCCTACACTCTATTAACCAGAAATATGTGTACATGTAGGCCTGTCAATCTCCACTATTAGGCGAATGAGACCCATTGCCAGGAAGGATTTAAGCACTTAGTGTTCAGACTTAGTGCGGCTCAGTGAAGTTTGGCTGCGTGGTCCTATCCGGGGGAATTACAGCAATCTTCTGCATTTGGTTTGATGAGGGAAGGAGTGGGTCTTTTCCCTAAACACTCAGGGCTATTCCTCTAACTTCAGGTTTTTAACTTAAGCACTATGTTAGGAAGCTGGTCACATTGTGTGCAATTCATAGAGGAGCCTGCTTAGGTATTGCTTCTTTTCTATGTATAATCTTCCTTCAGAACTGTATTTATATAAACAATCATTCAGTAAGTTCATGCACCCAGACTCTGCTGAGAAGTGCTGATTAGGCACCATCCAGTGTGTTTTTTCAAAGCAAGCAGTATTAGTCTGAAAAAAAGGCTTTTCTGTCAGGCTTTAATTTGTCCAAAACTAGCATCTATGTGGAGTAGAGCTGTATTTGACTCATTTTTGCTCCATTCTTCACAAATAGTAACTTCACAGTGATATTCTAAGCAGAGGACATCCTTCCCGGCAGTGTCAGTGAAGGTTTGGCTTTCACTATAGTCAGGCTATCACCCTATATTCTACCAAGTACACACCAGATCAAAAGGGTTATGCAACAAAATAACTAAAGTCAAATGAATGGTGGTATCTGTCAAAGAGATTTTTCTGTTTCTCTCCTTCTCCACACACATACATATGTATGCATAAGTATGCACATGTGCACAAACACAATGCAGAAATGAAATCTTATACTCATCAAAGATCTCCAAGAATAAACAACTGCTATGTACTGAGTTACCCTTGCCTTCAAGACCTAGGAAGTATGCTGGTCCTTCAAATCCCTTTATTTTACAGGTTGTTAAGGCTGCTCATCATTTTCTTAGAACAGGACACCAACTGTTACCAGTTATTTTCCATATCCCTATTTTAATTTACTTTTTTAATTATTAGTTCTTTTAGATACAATGGAGAGGCCTTCCTTGGAAATTAACCTGCCCAATACTCAGGAAGAAGGGAAACTTTATGTAGTTGATTCCTTAAACAACCTAAACAAACTAAATGTTTGTCCAGATGGATCCCAACATGTGCTAGGTACGTACAATAGGTGATGCTCTGTGGTTTTCTGTACATACAACAGGCCATCAAAAAGAGTTATGTATGACATTTGAAAAGCCTGATCATATCGTGTATCACTGCTGTCAACAGCCCAATAGGCCAATATGTATGTCAGGCTCTGTACTAAAAAATGTAAGAAGATGGAAAATGGTGTAATTTAGATCAAATTAATTGTTTAGCTGCTCCTGCTGAGTATTTAAGTTACCAGGTTCTTGAAAATCCTTGCATTTAGCTAGGGATACACTGTCAAGCATGAACTTACTTTCCATTTCAACTGGGATTCATTGAGTGATCCCTTGCAGGATAATGTCTCTTGTAATGCTCTATAAACGCCTACTACATAAATTGCATTGTAACTCTGTGAGTACTGTCACAAGCAATAAATTCACACATGGCAACAGAAACACTAGAGGAAAAACTGTTCCTTCTTTTAAGACACATCTCCTAAGGAGTCAAACCAGTTATCTGAAATATTCCATGAGACTTTCAAGCATTTTAATTCACAGCCTCTTTATTTACAGCTTCAGGTATGGGCTCTCACACTTCTACTGGTTTTATATGGCTTTTATCTTTGATTTCTCATGACAACCAGAATATTTTCACTCAGTAAGAGCTACAATATATTTGAATTATGATACATTCTGCATTGTTTCATGAATCTATAAGCATTTTGTCATGTTTATCATAACCAACCTTACCAAACTTTACCACCAAATAATTTATCATCTAATAATAGATGAGGAGGAGAACATTGGTGCTACTGAAGAAAACACGTCAGGGAGCAACATCAGGAACCAGCGCTTGTTCTTCGTCACCTTCATTCTTACTTTGATCATCAGTTTGGCACTTGTTTCATTTGTAATATTCATAATCAGTAAGTAAACCAAACAGTGGTTCTTGAAAATATAAGGCAAATTAGAAGAACTCTGCTGAAATATGTCATGCTACCATGCAACATTCTACTGCTGTATCTGCATGGTCAAAGGCTTTGGCTGGATATAGGCAGTGGGTCTTGGTCCTGGGTCCAAAACCACAGGCCTCTACTCTGTGAGCTAGAATGCACACTTTTCTTCTTAGTGAAAAGGTTTTATGAGCTTCAACAGCTGTCAAGAATTCAGCTCAGCAGGGTTATACTGTGCTGCTAAAAATGCTGGCTGGAAATTGAATTTTAAAGATGACTGTATGGCAGTGAGATACTTTGACAACATGCCTTCCATTCTTTTCCAAATAAAACTCAGTCCTGGTGTCATTTCACTGCAACTGGAATTACACCCAGGCTAAAGCTTAAATCACGCTACCTGCATAAGGACCTGAAGGTTGCCAGCTAAATACTGACTGGAAATTGGTTTGGAACTACAAAAATGTCAAACATAAGAACCAAAAAAACTGATAAGATGTATCAAAATTGGCATGCATCATTGAGTCTGTAGATGAAATTGCCATTCTGCTTCAGCTGGGCTGGTTGGGCTGGCTTAGCTAAGGTGACCTTTGGCTACAGGTGACCTTTCTTTATGGAGCCCTTGCCATCTTAGGCTTTTCTGGACTAATGGTGTTGAACAGAGTATGAGATGCATTCTTTTAACTTACAAGTTTATTTTCAATGAATTGGAATCCATGTGAAGTTAAGATTTCTTTTATCCTATAGTAGGGGATTCACTGGGTTATAGCAAAAATCCTCATTTTCCTTTTTGAATAGGAAATTAACCCTTGACTTGTGGACACATGCTCGAAGAACAGAATATCAGACAATTAAAGAGCACAAAGGAGATTTTAAATGGCATAATTGTAAAACCCTAATTAAAATACCTCATACTCGAATTCCATATTTATTTAATGGGGAACTGCTAAAAGTGGAGCTCCAGTATAGAAAAATGAGCAATGTGCCCCTCTAGTGGAAAACTGGTAAACAGTGAAAAGGCCACTTACTAGGGTTAAAGGAGTTTGCTTGGGCTCAGGTTGATGTAGGTTTATGGTTTTTGAAACTGATTTCCAGTAGTGCTTCAGATTATGTTACAAATAATCGGAGATTATATTTGCAATCCATAGACAGATTTGTTTACCACTAGCACTACTAGTTTAAGCTTCAAAACATGGGTAAATTTTGTTAACTACAGAAGGCCAAAATAAAAATAGCTCCAGAAGTGTACATGGCGGTTATGCATACTGGTGTTCCAGGGGAAACTGGCCTCCAAATGCCAGTATTTGCAAGACTTCTTCTTTAATCTAAATGCGTTAGGAAATCCAGTGATGTGGCTGTAGTCTGCTGTGTGTTTTAGTAATTCTACTTTTAGAAAAATACAGATGCATGCTGCCCACAAATAACACCCTGCAGCCCCTAAATAAGACATATTCCTGTGGACAGCAATGAAATTGATATACTCCTGAAGACTGCAAAATTTTTCTGTGCCGTATTTGATTTTGTTTCTCTGCACTAACCTGAACCAGAAAATAAGCAATTAAATACGCAACGTAACTTCTTATCATTAGGTCCTGCAGTTGCTTTCCAGTTTAATATTTTTGCTCATCATAATTCCCTACAGACTCCCATGGGAATGCAAGAGAGCATAATGATTTTCTTGACTTAAATGCTGCCAATTTAATGTGGTACATTTTCCTTTTCAAGTTCAAACTAGAAACAAGATGGACCAAATATCAAGCAGACTAATAGCTGAAAAGAAGAACATAGAAGAGCTTAAGAAAATTAACAATATGATATTAAAGCATCTAAATCAATCAGGAATTAAGGAAAATGGGAGCTACCTCTTCACACAGTCTCCTGATCTTCACAGTTACCTCTTTGCCCATGCTGAGCTGAAAGTCCCTGAAGAATAGATCTTCTTTGGTATGAAATTCAGTGTATTTATGTACTCAAGCTATTTTCACATATGGCACATGGGTCACTTAAACATTCTGACATGGTCACAGGAGCATTAGAAAAGCCAGATGTATGAAAGACAGTAGAAAACAGTATTTTATCCTGTTTCATATGAATATAGAGTTGACAACAAACTATGATTTATAATAAATGATGGATTATCAGTGATTTTGGGCAAGAGTTCCAGATTCTCCGTGCATTCTAAATTGAAGGGCTAAGGGCTTAGTTTTACTTTAAATGTGAGTGATCACAGAAAATAGTAATTTCTGTTCACATGATTTCAGTATGACCTTGTTCACTTAGTCATTCTCCTCTTGGTTTTTTTTTTTGAACAAGTTTTGTGTTTGCTTCTGTATTATTTGTATTTAAGGATAACTTCAGATTCCTTAACTTATAAATAAATCCCATTTCTGCCATGGACTTTGGTGGTTTTCCTTTCTGTTCATCTAAACAGATCGACTTACTACTGTTTTTGTGAGAAAACAAACTTGAGTAAAATCAAAGCATTTCATAACATGCCATATTCCTCCCAAATTTGTATTGGCTGAACATGTGTATTATATTGTCTTATATGGGAAACAGGTTTAGAGGACTCAGTCTGGGAATACCCATCTCATAACAATGCTAGTATTCTGTCATCAGTATTTGCTGGTAGTTTCTGGGAGAAGACCAAGTGTTTTTATAAAGCAACATGGGGAAAATGCTACATGTTCTTGTACTCTTCCCTATAGTTGTTGTTGGCTACTACCAGAAAACAGCCAAGTAAAATCTGGTCTGAACCTTCATGTTTTTAAAATGGAGCAGTACCTCAGAGGGTAAAAGCAGGAGCCAATGCTTTCTCGCTCCGACTTTACACAGCTGTGGAGACCAACACCCAGAAGAGTGATCACTTAATGCACTGGTGGGTAGCGTTGCCATTTTAGCATTAAGAACCTTCTACTGGCACATACATTAAGAAGCCACCTCCATTATCAATAAATAAATCGGTTACTCCTATCTCAACAGTGCAATGGCAGCTGACACTATGGAGTATGTGCAACATCTTCTCTTTTACTCTGAGGTCTGTTTGTCATTCAATGCTTCCTTATCTCTTCTGGACAATTTTACAAAAACACCACCAAAGCTGACAACTTTCATCGCAGTCTCTTCTTCCAGAATAACTGATAGTCCTTTCTGCGCTGGCTACTTCATTGTCTACAACAGAGTCAAGAACTACGCCCAGGAATCTTTCCTGGTATCACTCTACTCGGATTTGCCCAACCATTCTATTCCTGCTATTAGGAGTGCTTTGCTCTACACCTATGTTTTAGATCACCTACTTTATATTTCTTTTCTTTTCCTGACACATTACTGTCAAGTCACTCATGAAAACTGTGAGGTCATTCTCAAGACTTCATTACTCCTGCTGTTAATGCCCAGCTGCAGTTGCAACTATCTACTCTGGACATCACAAGTAGTTGTTACAAAGATAACTTTAAAATAGCTAACAAAGAATGATAAAAAGTAACTGTAGAAGTTGGAAGGAAAGAAATCCTAAAAGCTCAACCCACACATCTTTCTGTACATGCTGGTAAACAATGAAAGAAAAGGTATTGTAAGACTAAAAACATGACACTCGCAGCATTGCTTCTCTGTTCTTTGAGCTGTCAGCTGATTTTTAGTGACAATATTAAGTTCGCATCTCTCCCACTCATCTTGTAGCTATTCTAAGTGCTTTCAAGCTCCTGTCTTGCACTGACACACATCTGTACTTGTTAGCCAGGGAGAAACAACTCTAGTATTTCGTACTCAGTGCATCTCAAAAACGTGGATTTGTCACATCCTTTGTTGCAACTGCAGCTATTAGAGCAGTGTGTGGTCCACTAGAAACTGACACAGTCAATAGTTTTTTTTTTTTTGGCAGGAGACTGTAAATAAAATCTGTGCTATAGCAACAGTCCCCAAAGAAATTAAAGCTTAGTTATCTCTCTGATCCTGTCCTCAATTACTCTTAATCTAGTTATTTGATCAGTACTCATAATAAATCTACTTTTCCTGTCTTCATTGTTGATTAGAAGTGTCAGGGTGGGGTGGGAGAGGGTTCACTCCATGGTTTGATCCTGCAAGGTGCTGAGTGCCCTTATGTGCCACAGACTTAGGACCAGCTCAGGCAGACAGATGTGCAGGCATGCTGAGTACCACACAGGTCTGAGGCTCCAAGTCATCCTTTCTTGCTTCTTCAGTTGCAGTGGTCAGCTATTAAGATTAGTGACTGAAGCAGTGCAAAGATCCAAGGGCCTCCTTAGGCTCATTCTGCTAGCACTGCTGAAACACATTTGTTGTTGGAGCCACTGGTGTACAAGGGAGACACGGGGCAGCACTGCTTATGGCTGTTTATGGCTTCTCATCTCAAGATACCAACATCCATTTACAGTTAGAACTGCTTCCATATGAGACCAGAGCAAGGGTTTACAGGGCTGCCTTGACAGCAGAGTGCCACAACCATTCCACCAACACTTTCTGGAGTACCCCCCTAAATAGAAGAAAGTAGCGTTTCCTGCATGGGGACATTTCTGTCTAATCTACTGACAGTTAAATAGTCCCAAAGAAAGCTTGACTCCTAAAATTTTCTACAAACTTGACCCTGAAGTGAACTTCAGCTCATTCCAGAGCTCCACAATCCTCATCTTGAATAAACAGCTAAGTGACTAGTAAACTCCAAGCTCCAGCTGCATGTGGTGTAACCGCCGTGCTGTATAGGTATATTACAATGTCTCCTGTAGACACCGGCAGCACACCTCAGGAGACTTTGCAAAGTCTGCTATAATGACAAAGAACAGGAGCAAGGTGATCTGACAGTCACAATTTCATCTTATAGCAGCCACAGCCGTTTTCCTCAGTAGTGATGCTACTTTATCTCTGATTTGCAGGCTATGGAGGTATCTATCCAAAATAACTTTGTTTTCAGTATTTTGCTGAGCCCACTGTAAATTAAAATGATGCAAAGGGGTTCAGGCAGATGTAACAACATGCAACTGACACTCATCTCTCTTAACAGCTGCAGCTGCTATCATTGCTGAAACGACAACTTGGCTTCAGGCAATTTTCTGGTGAATAAATGTGGACAATACTAGAAAGATGTTGGTAAGCAAGGAGAAACACTTGGAAGATTTACCCAGTAAATTATCTTCAACTTCCAGCAAAAGCATCATGGTGTTGGTCCCTGAAGTGCTATCTGAATCTTTAGGTGGTTAGGTAGTATCAGTAGACAAAATACTTTCTTCCTCTGGTTAGTCTGCTGAGAAATACACTCCTTTGCTTCAGCTATCCACAACAGCCCATGTTCTTATTAAGCCAAAACCATTGGACTGTACCTGACTATGTGAAAAGTACATCTGGAGAGACTATACAATAATAAATAGTAGTGGGTCAGCTAGTGCAGGCATTTACTTTCCTTTTTTTGGGGTCATGTTACCATGAGAACACTAATTTGTACTCGGCCTTCTGCTCTTCTAGAGGGAAACAGAGCTCAGCATCTACAAGCAGCATGTAAGAACTGAGGACAAAACATTCTTTAAAGAGACCGGTCTATGAACCAGTAGGAGGTTAGGCAAATCCAGGCAGTAGGTATCTTCAGTAGAAAATGATGCTCAGACAGTAAGGGGGCATTTTTGAGAGGCAATCAAATCCATCCCTTTGCCTGACAGCAGCATCAGATTTACTTCAACTATTCCTGACAGATGCTTTTCCATTCACACTGTAAAATATTTAAATGATGAAACTTCCCCTGCTTAACTAACCTTATTTTTTTTCCTGAAGTCTAACTAAAGTTTTCCCTGTTGAAACTTAAGCCCATTATTTCCTCACCTATTGTTTGTGAATATGAAAAAGTCTGTTACCTTTTTTTGTTATTACATATTATACTAACTCCACAAGCAATTTTACTCTTAAGACAGCTTTTTCACCCTCTGAGATACTTGCAATTTTAATATAACATTTATTCTTAAATTCTAGTATGAGTTCAGTTCACACGCTTCGTTCACTGGTAACAATACAAAGCTGAACATGGATAAAAACCTATAATGATGTGCCTACTCAATCTGGAAAAAGAGAAAACTCCAGGAGTGGCAAAAGGACTGTCACAAATTTTGTTAGACCATATGCTCTTGAAGGTGATGTGCTGAGTGCTGGACACAGTCCAGACTGTTCAGGAACACTAAATGCTGTGTCTAGGTACTTGCAAAATGAGCAGAGTGAAACAATGTTGGACAAAACAGCAGGATTGTCAGAACTAGAATCCCTTGAAGAACAAAACCCCTTTCATTGAGTTTTGAAGTCTCTGAAGATCAAATACTTATTTTCATTCTACCAAAGCATAATCTTGTTAAATAACACATGAAATTACTTGCAAATATGCATTTTCAGTTCCAAAATTCCAAGTTTTCTTACTCACTTCACCCTCTCTGACTGGAGTTTCAGCTTTGAGACCCAGAACCTACCCCACTGAAAACAGCACCAAAGTAATGTCCTCTATTGAAAGTGTCAGTGTTTTGAAAATATTTATTCTGACAAATTTGCAACCAGTTAGTTACAACTGGAACTGTGATTAAGCAACACCTATACATACATATATATAGAGGTGTTTTAGATATATATATAAAAGCCAAACAGCAACTAAAAATTGGTTTTATGTTTTGACTAGTAACTGAAAGTCGCTATGTCTGAGAAGGTGCTTAACTTGATCTTCTTATAGGTAATTGGCATAATTCATCTTGGAAGATGTTGGCAAATAATGAAAGTTGGATTAAAACCTTAGATCACAGCCCAGTGCTGCTGAGGTTAAGGGAACTGTTCTCTTCAATTAAGGAAAAAAGCACATTCAGTCCATTACATGTTGCTGTTCTTATTTTCCCACCTATTAACAAAGATACTGAGATTTAAAGAGAGGGACAGAGGGGACGAATGTATTGTCACTTCCTCCAGGACAAATAAATAATAACACTGTGGCCAAAGAGGTTGTTAGTCTTATCTGAGAACCCAATCAGTCTTAGAATTCAGGAAAAAGCTTCTATAGACTCAGTCTCCTCTCCTTTCTCCAGTTTCTGGAACACATTTCAGCAATCGGAACGCTGTCCACGATTCAGTGACGAGCCAGCAAAACCCCTGAATGGTAATGAGAACCTTCCAGTAGGAACAGTCACACCACAGCACTGCTCCTAATTTATCACTGTGAGGCAAAACACATTACACACAAGGGTGAAAGGACAATTTAAAAATCGATTGCCTGCCGATTTAAAAATTTATTAATAATTGTGGATTTGCTTTTCAAGTTCTGCACTGCTCATTTAATCTTGAACATTTTCTTCACCACACACGCATTAAGTGACTTTGTAAAACAACGCTTGTCTACAAGGTGACAAAGAATTTTGACACATAGACTCCCTTTGCTCCTCAGCAAAAGCTTATGGCTAATTCATTAACTTCCAATAATGCTTCAGTTTTTCTGTGAAAGGAACTCTGATGCATTTTCTTCAGAAAGGCCTCTCCCTGAGTACTTAAAATCATACGGGTAGATATGTAGGTGATAACAATATTTTCACTGATTTTTCAACAGAAGGTGTGACACTGATCCTACCTTTTGTGCATCAGCTTTGATCTGAAGCAGCTCTGGGGTTGCACTTCTTGTCTGACATGGATGTAAGTGAATGACTTTAAGAGAGTGCTCGCTGGTTCTAACGTTTAGGGCCGGTTTGAACTACATTGAGCTTTACACAGAACTCAGCAGCAGAAGAATCCCCAGCTAAGTAAGCCAGCTCACTGAAGTATGTGGGGAGTGAATGAAACCTACTGAGCTGATTCAGCACCTATAAATAAATACTGACTGACTCATTGTGGCCTCCTTCAGAGGAACAGTGGTAACAGATAAAGCGGTAAAAGAGGAAACAGCCCTGAGCTGGAAAGCTCTTCCTTAACGCTTCGCACGTTCTGTGTCTCCCGCTGGAAAGACAGAGCAGCTGTCTCCCTCTCCAGGCAGAACAGCTGCTTTAAGGTCTTTATTCAAGCACCACGGCACAGGGATGCAGCAATCTCTGGTCAGCTCAGACCTCTGCCAGCAGGCCTGTAAAAAACGCCACCTCTTTCTATGTACGCAGTCCCCGAGAACGGTTGCTGTCGTTAATTCCAGAAAGATCTTCCATTTATTAAGACTCTATGGCCCCTGCAGTGAGGGGAAGCCTGCTGGCCGTGGGAAACAGGCCCAAGAGAGACAGCGTGGCTGCCACTGCAAACCGCGGCCCTGTTCCCTTGCACTGCCCGACCGGAACCCCACAGCTCTCCCAACCCAACACCGACGACAACTCCCCGTCGGCGCAGGCGCCGGGGCCCTATCGCTAGGCGGCGGACGAGGGAGACCCCTGGCGGCCGGGACCGAGCGAGCCTCAGGCCGAAGGGCCCAGGAGAGGCGAATGTAGCTGGGCGGAATCCCGCGGGAAGTGGCCTCGGCACCTTGGCGGGTCTGGTGCGGGTCGAAAGGCCGGGAGCGGGCGCGGACGACGGGCGCTTCTGCAGCCCAGTAATGCGAGTGCGAGCTGAGGGCACGGCGGGAAGCACGGTGGGCTGCAGGGCTGTGCCCGGAGACAGGCACAGGTGTGTCGGGGGTGAAGAGAAATGGAACGCCTCCCTGTGCTTAGGCCAACGGGCACTGCTGTGCAGAGCCCCCTGTCAGAAAAGCCTCATTTTCATCGGTGGCTCTCTTCCCTTCTTCCCCGAGGAACAGCATTAATTTGGTGGAAATTGTCAAGTCATGCTTGGCTTACTTGTGGAGAAGAAGCAAGGTGATTTGTCAAAAGTGCAGCTGATCAAAAACATTAGTTTGAGAGAAATAGGAATGCACTATTGTAAATTTTAGTATTTACAATCCAGTCACTGCCAGCTCCATTGTCATTATAGAATCATACCATCATAGAATGGTTTGGGCTGAAAGGGACATTAACGATTGTCTCGTTCCAGCCCCCTGCCATGGGCAGGGACACCTTCCCCTAGACCAGGTTGCTCTAAGTCACTCCAGTCAAATGATGATCAGTTAAATTGCAGAAGCACTGGCCATCACTTTGGTCAGAGCTTCCTGAGTTGTCAGGCCAGGAGAATCATGGAATGGAATCACAGAATAGTTTGGGTTGGACTGGACCTTAAAGACCATCCAGTTCCAAGCCCCTGCCGTGGGCAGGGACACCTTCTACTAGACCATGTTGATCCAAGCCCCATCCAACCTGGCTTTGAACACTACTAGGGGTGGGGCAGCCGCAGCTTCTCTGGGCAACCTGTGCCAGCACCTCAGCACCCTCATAGGGAAGAATTTTTCCCTACTATCTAGTCTAAATCTGCCCTCTTTCAGTTTAAAGCCATTACCCCTTGTCCTGTCACTACATGTCCTTGTAGTGACCTATCCTAGGTCCGAGAAGCTACTCCGCTGTGTGCTACACTGGTACACCCAGGTGCCCATAACCAAATCAAGTGTAAAAAGGAATTAAGCAACATGAGTGTCTTGTAAAATGCCCCTGGGTGTTCCAGTGCTCCTCTTCACTGCAAACATGGCAGCCTTTCATGAGAACAGGGAAGAGCAACTGCCAACGTGAAGTCCGCACTGCTCTCCCAGCCTGGGGAGGAAGGGATGGAGGGAGGAAGAAAGGGAAGTAAGGGAAGGAGGGAGGAAGGAGCAGAAGGAAGGCAAGGCTTGAACTGGAGGAGGGGGCTGTCTGATGAGTCAGTCCCAGAAAATACAGACCTCTCAAATACCTGCTTTGGCAATGTGTGGGGCAGAGCTGGGGTAGGGGCTGTCATAGGAGGAACCTCAGCCTATCTTGGAGATGGGGAATGGGCATTTTCTGGCCAGCAGATCGTGCTGTGTGCATTCCCAGGAAAGGGTCTGTGGTGACCCTTATAGACATGTGAAATGCAGCCCTGCGTGGGGGCGCGTGAGGTAGGAATGAAGGAGCCCTGTGCTCAGCACATGGCATTTGCCAGGCCCAGGAGCTGGGGTAGTGTTCTCTGA